GTTTCAATCTATACTCCAAACCTCTTACTTCCATGAGCAATGCCCTGCCAACTTATGAACGCAGAGATGTTTTTAGCCTGATAATACGCTCCCCATTAAAGTAAAGTTGCAGTGCACTATACACGTACGGTTCCAAAGATTGCCAAAAACAAATGTTTCACTCTCATCCCACTTTCCAAGGTGTTCACTATTCAAGCCCACCCCACCCCCTGCCTTGCTTTTTAAATGTAGGTGTTAATTTCAGTGCAGTTTGGAGCCCATTTTGAAGACCTTCAACGACAAGCCTTTGACAGTCATCTTTCGCAGTCCACTCGCCACCGCCTCAACCACAACGAACGCCTCCTCCCTCCCTCCCTACGGGCGGACTTTGCCCGTGAAATTCCACGGACCAGCCTCTTGACCTCGCGTGCCCTGCAGTGCACCCCGGCACATCCAGGCTCACTCGGCCTTGCATGACCCGGACTCATTCGTGTCATGCACCGAGCGCAATCGCTCGCTGACATCGGTGACCTCGCGTAAGGTGATGGATGGACAATTTGTACTTGACGTGGAAACATAAAAAAGATGCATGTAGGAATTACAATGATTAAGCACTGCATCTTAAGTGTTCCTTTAACGAGTGCGCGACGGAATTTCAAATTCAGTGACTTCCTGCTCAACAGCGGGCGAGGCACTCAGGGCCTGAGCCATCCATGGGGGTTGACGTCCTCACGCTGGGGCCCAGTCTGCCCAATCTATGATGGTTGGCTTCACAATGTCAAAGTCACAAATTCATTCATTTCCTTGTCAGTTAATATGTAGGCTTTCCCGGTCAATATTATCCGCAATAAAGATGGTTTTGGGTTAGATCGCATAAATATAAACGACGCATTTATAATAATTGGTTCTTTACCCTTCTATCTGGCAACAAAACTGACACCTTTTTGCAAGGAGTCATGTTTGCATAGACCGCAATACCTGCAGTCATAATACAAACAAAAGAACATAACTCTGATAATGTGCACTGTCCCTGAAGTTGATTGGTCCACACCCGAGACAGCTTTCCTTCGAGCCTAGTCTCATATGGGTTGGACCAGATGACGCCAAAAGGCGCACAACTCAAGGACAATGCACCATCAGAGTATGAGAGCTCGGGGCAAGCATCTACACTATGGGGACCTCATTTGCCAGTAAAAATATGATAATTGGTTCTTTACCCTTCTATCTGGCAACAAAACTGACACCTTTTTGCAAGGAGTCATGTTTGCATAGACCGCAATACCTGCAGTCATAATACAAACAAAAGAACATAACTCTGATAATGTGCACGCCTTTTGGCGTCATCTGGTCCAACCCATATGAGACTAGGCTCGAAGGAAAGCTGTCTCGGGTGTGGACCAATCAACTTCAGGGACAGTGCACATTATCAGAGTTATGTTCTTTTGTTTGTATTATGACTGCAGGTATTGCGGTCTATGCAAACATGACTCCTTGCAAAAAGGTGTCAGTTTTGTTGCCAGATAGAAGGGTAAAGAACCAATTATCATATTTTTACTGGCAAATGAGGTCCCCATAGTGTAGATGCTTGCCCCGAGCTCTCATACTCTGATGGTGCATTGTCCTTGAGTTGTGCGCCTTTTGGCGTCATCTGGTCCAACCCATATGAGACTAGGCTCGAAGGAAAGCTGTCTCGGGTGTGGACCAATCAACTTCAGGGACAGTGCACATTATCAGAGTTATGTTCTTTTGTTTGTATTATGACTGCAGGTATTGCGGTCTATGCAAACATGACTCCTTGCAAAAAGGTGTCAGTTTTGTTGCCAGATAGAAGGGTAAAGAACCAATTATCATATTTTTACTGGCAAATGAGGTCCCCATAGTGTAGACGCATTTATATTTACACAATTTAACCCAAATAACCTTTATTATGGAGTTTCCTTGTCGCCTTTGGCAGTAGCTGCCCCCTCTCAAGCGCACAGATGCCAACGACAATGTCCGCTGGTGGCCACGACAAAAACACTTCCTTCCTTCCTGAAACACAATGAGCACTCCTCAACGTGAGCGGAGGCGCCTCTCGACAGAGCACGCCACCGCCAGCCATCCTCCTCCCCATGGCACCGGCCGATAGCACGAACACAGCCGAGGGATTTAGTGCCGCTTAACGACGGCACTCAGTTGCTGACGACATCACAAGGCACCAAGCAGCACTGGCGCGACCCACAGCAGTCGAGCTCTCACGTCAATACCACAATCTCGCTGCCACTATGCACTCACAGTATGCTGCCAATGCCGCTGATGAGGATAATGTTGATGCTAATGTTGATGATAACGTTGATGCTAATGGTGACTGCTGATGATATCTGCCATCGCGCTGATGTTGCTGCTGTGAACCATCATGATGACGTCTTAAACCCATACAAATATAATACTCAGTCCACACCGATGTTACTCATGCCAATGCTGATCTCTGTCATGATGTCAATAGCACTGCAGTACGTATTCTGCTGGTCATAATACTGCGTCTCAGGTTGAAGACATTTGTACTGCTGATGATGACGCCGGTAATATTGATTCTAATATGTTGTTGACAGTGGCTTTACATATCATATTGATTCTGACAGGACTGCTGCCAATGACCGCTGGTATACTCTTGTTGGCAATGCTGTGGTGCTGATGATCTGATGAAGAACCAAGCTGACAATGATGGTGATTGCTCGCTGATAAATCAGTCGAGCTGCTGGAAAAACGACGATCTTCACGCCGTGCCGCTGTTATACAATTGACACTGATGGACAATAAAATTAAATCAAACTAAACTTTTATTTTTTATTTTACCAGGTAAGGCCCACTGAGTTAGTAGTCATCGGGGCTATGACTACGAGCTATAAATGTGGACAATAATAGCAGCCGCATTCTCCAAACACATGTCGATTCAAAATGTGGAGGGAAAAACCGGACCCGGATAAAAACCCACACGACCACGGGGAGAGAAAGAGAGAGGCAACACGCAAACTGCAAATCTAGAGCAGCAAGCGTCGAACCCACTACCTCCTTCATACCAGGCGAGGTAGTTAACATTCCCTAGCCACCGTGATGATGATGAGAGAGACGCAAACTCTAAATATACAGCAGCAGGCGTCAGGGTCGGGTTAAAACCCACGACCTCCTGTACACCAGGCGAGGTAGCTAACATTCCCTAGCCACCGTGATGATGATGATGAGAGAGAGACGCAAATTCGAAATATACAGCAGGCGTGCGGATCGGCGACCTCCTGACCACCAGGCGAGGGAGTTAACATCTCCTGGCCACCGTGGCGCCCGAATTGATAATCAGCCGACAGCATGCCTACAGTCGCACATCTCAAACCATGGACCGCATGTGTATGCATGTACAGTGTGTATGCATGTATAGTGTGTGTGTGTACAGTGTGTATGCATGTATAGTGTGTATGTATGTATAGTGTGTATGCATGTATAGTGTGTGTGCATGTACAGTGTGTATGCATGTACAGTGTGTATGCATGTATAGTGTGTATGCATGTATAGTGTGTATGCATGTATAGTGTGTATGCATGTATAGTGTGTATGCATGTATAGTGTGTATGCATGTATAGTGTGTATGCATGTATAGTGTGTATGCATGTATAGTGTGTGTGTATGTATAGTGTGTGTGCATGTATAGTGTGTGTGCATGTACAGTGTGTGTGCATGTACAGTGTGTATGCATGTATAGTGTGTATGCATGTATAGTGTGTATGCATGTATAGTGTGTATGCATGTATAGTGTGTGTGCATGTATAGTGTGTATGTATGTATAGTGTGTGTGCATGTACAGTGTGTGTGCATGTACAGTGTGTATGCATGTATAGTGTGTATGCATGTATAGTGTGTATGCATGTATAGTGTGTATGCATGTATAGTGTGTATGCATGTATAGTGTGTATGCATGTATAGTGTGTATGTATGTATAGTGTGTGTGCATGTACAGTGTGTGTGCATGTACAGTGTGTATGCATGTATAGTGTGTATGCATGTATAGTGTGTATGCATGTATAGTGTGTATGCATGTATAGTGTGTATGCATGTATAGTGTGTATGCATGTATAGTGTGTATGTATGTATAGTGTGTGTGCATGTACAGTGTGTGTGCATGTACAGTGTGTATGCATGTATAGTGTGTATGCATGTATAGTGTGTATGCATGTATAGTGTGTATGCATGTATAGTGTGTATGCATGTATAGTGTGTGTGCATGTATAGTGTGTATGTATGTATAGTGTGTGTGCATGTACAGTGTGTGTGCATGTACAGTGTGTATGCATGTACAGTGTGTATGCATGTATAGTGTGTATGCATGTATAGTGTGTATGCATGTATAGTGTGTATGCATGTATAGTGTGTATGCATGCATATTGTGTGTATGTACATTGCAGAGGTGTGGACTCGAGTCATGTGACTTGGACTCGAGTCAGACTCGAGTCATGAATTTGATGACTTCAGACTCGACTTGGACTTGCATAACAATGAATTTGTCCCACCTCTGGTACATTGTGTGTGTATGTACAGTGTGTGTGTATATACAGTGTGTGAACTTCTTTCGCACCGTGCGTAGACAACCGTGTGAATGGGAGGTGCCCGCGTCTCTCAGCCGCAGACGTTTCCAGAGATTCACCGACGGGACTGCTCCCACTACGACTACTCACGACATCCTCCACCGGCTCAGCCGAAACAACATGAACAACAAGAAGCTATGAGAATGTTTTACCTTTTCTGGCAATAAAACAGTTGTGTTAAGATGTTAAAATACCAAACTGAAACCGTTTGCAAGGAATCCTGTCTGCATTACCCACACTTGTGCGGCGAACATGCAAACAAAAACCATGCTCTGGTGGTATAAGATGGTCCACACCAGGGACAGCTTTCTATAGAGCCTCGTCTCAAGCAGTGTTAGACAAGGCGAACAGCACAGAGACAACGCAGCTACTTGGGTGCGCAGGTGGTGCAACTGCGCCGCTGCTCACCCAGGGTCTTGACGGCGATCTGGCGGGTGAGCGCCGGCGGGATGAAGATGCACACGAGGTCCACCAGATGGTGGAGCAGCACGTCGTCCATGCTGCTGCTGGAGAAGGGGATGCGCATCTCGGCCGCCAGCTGCTCGGCCTCGTCGCGCGTGCGGCCCCACAGCGCCTCCACGCTGAAGCCCTCGGCGCGCAGAAGCGGCACGAGCACGCGGGCCGTGAGCCCCGTGCCGAACACCCCCACGCCGGGCAGCATGACGACTGCCCTCGCTTCCCTCGGCAAGGCGACGTCTCACGCGGGGCGACTTCTCGCGAGGAAGCGCCCAGCCATGAGCAGGGGCTTACCGCAATCTGCCCGGCTCACTTCTCCGGCGGCTCGCCCCCTTCGGCTCGGGACGACTCCACCGCCACCAGGCGCTCGCTCGCGGCTCGCCGCGGCTCAACTCCCAATCTCCGCAGGCCGCGTCTGCCCTCGGCTCCGTCTATCCCGTGGCCGCGTCTCCTCTCTCGCCACTCCCGCGGTGCCTCCCCGTTCCCCTCGGCCACGCACTGCGACCCCGACACCACCACCGCAGCAGCAGCAGCAGCAGGCGGCCGACTCCCTCAGCACCACCCCCGTGTTAGTCTGTCGGCCTTCGGGCGGCTCGGCGCTGCTCTAACGAGCGGCAGGCGCCCCGCGCGGCGGGGCCGCTAGGCGAGCGGCGTCACCCCCGCGCCTCGCCGCCTCCGCGCTAGGCCTCGGCTGCAAGTTCATGTCGCGCTGCTGCTGCTGTTGCTGCTGCTGCAGGGATAAACCCCCCCATGAAAGCCCCAGCAGCCGAGCAAAACACTCCCCGAGTCCTGGAGCCAACACGCGGGGCAGCAGCAGTAGGAGCAGCTGTAGGAGCAGCAGTAAGAGCAGCGACCTCCTCCCCTGCTGCCCGTGTCCAGGTGCGCGCGTCCAGCAGCAGCAGCGCCGCGCTCCTCCCCCCACCCCACCCCCACCCCACCCCCACCACGCTCGGGCCAACACGCGCGTCCATTGGTCACTGGGGTGGGGGGGGCGGAGCCGTCCCGCGGCTGCTGCCAATCAGAGGCGCGAGAGCAGAGACGAGCGCGCGCCACCGGCCGAGGGGCGGGGCCACAAGAAGGCGGCTCTGCCAATCGCGAGGCGAGGATCATTGTCTACAGTTGCATCATTTAATTGTGTTGAGTCAGTCTGTAAGTAGTCATACAGGTTCCTCGGGCATGACCAACACCTACTAATGTTAACTCCATAATATATTTTAACACGTAGGCTTTCGCGACCCATGTTATTCATAGTAAAAGTTATTTTGGGTTAGATCGCGTAAATATAAATTAAGCCAAGAATGTCTGCCCCGCCCGTGACGTCACTCCACGTCGACCAGCCCCCCTCATTAATAATCATGAACAGGTTACGTTCTATTTCGATTTAAAGCTTTCGTGACTGCAGGGATTCATATTCTTGGTTCTTTCGGTAAAGTCACGTATAAGGGAAATAATAAAATAATAATTCAATTTAATGCTTATTTTTATTAAAAATATATAAATTGTATTTTTTATCATTTTACTATTTCCCTTCTACGTGACTTTACCGAAAGAACCACGAATAGGTTGTTACGTTCTCCAAATGGACCCCCCTCATTAATAATCATGATCGGGTGACGTAACTCCGCATGGAGAAACCCCCCCCCCCCCCTCATTAATAATCATGAGCAGGTGACGTCACTCCACATCGAACAGCCCCCCTTATTAATAATCATTATAAGGTGACGTCCTCCAAGTAGACAACCCTGCATTAATATTAATTAGCGGGTGACGTCACTCCACATGGGGGGCCGAGGCGCCTCCTCCCCCCTCCTCGGCGTCAACTTACATCCCTCACTACAAAGGCAGAACCCTCACGTCACGTGATCTCCGTAACGCTATTGAGACATCAAAGTAAAAAGGACGTCACGATGAACAAAGGATTTTAATCTTAAAATGAAATAGGTCTGTGTCACCGCGCCCTCACCAATTGCACGCGAATGGATGCAATGAATATATCATGTCGCGCTCTGCTTTTCGCTTGCAAGTTTAAGATTTACTGCAATACACCCGTCCTTGGACGGGCAAAAGGCGAGTTAGTAAGGTTTGTGGGTTTACTCGCCAACACACCGGTGTGTTGAAGTCGTACCTAATTGGCACTTTCTGTTCACGTGACAAATCTCACTGGTTGGCTGTCAGGTTGTGGCGGGTTAATGACACATTTAGACTTAAATTTTGACATCTTGACTTAAAGATTTCGTGACTGCAGGAATTCATATTCTTTGAGTCTTTCGGTAAAGTCACGTAGATAGAAAAAATAATAATAAATAATACAAATATCACGAAGTCATATGACTTAAGTCATAACGGGCTGTGATGTTCCCAGCCTACCACCTTCCCATGTTAGTTGTTATTTTCGGCTCTCTGATTTTTTACATTAACAGATTAAATTTCTCACGAACACAGCTACCTCGCACCATCCTCGAGGCTGCTGCTTCACGATCTCCCATTAACATGCTAATCTCTCACATTAACATACTAATATCTCACATTAACATGCTAATCTCTCACATTAACATGCTCATCTCTCACATTAACATAATAATCTCTCACATTAACATGCTAATCTCTCACATTAACATGCCAATCTCTCACATTAGCATGCTAATCTCTCACATTAACATGCTCATCTCTCACATTAACATGCTCATCTCTCACATTAACATGCTCATCTTTCACATTAACATAGCCACCTTGGCGCACTCGCCGTGGAGGATGCTCGGCGATTTTGCATTGACATGCTAATTTCCGCCTGGTCGCCCTGTGATTGGTGGAAAGCCCAACACCACCGCCGTGGTCGCTGCCCACCACTTGCATTGGCATTGGCTGCTGACTTTGGGCTACGCCCATTTCAAACCTTTCTTAGCAGTCGTCTTTAGAAGCCAACCCCACTTTTCCTGATGACGACCTCTTGTGTTGCGATCGAAACGTTGTGATATTTTTATTATTTTTCATTATTCTTTCTATCTACGTGACTTTACCGAAAGACTCAAAGAACATATCTTACGCACTCTAACCAAAAATAACTTTTATTATGACTCAATAATACATGCTCCTGATGCCCGCATTAGTGAAATTTAGACTTGTGAGATTGCAATAACAATTTCAATGTCTTCTTGGTTCTTTCGGTAAAGTCACGTAGAATTGAAATAATAAAATAATAAAAATAAAACATAATAAAATAATATAATATTATAATAAAATAACATGATATAATAACATAATAAAATAATATAATAATAAAAGAAAATAACATAATATAATAATAATTATTTTATTATTTTTATTTTTACTGTTTTATTATTTCAATTCTACGTTACGTTACCGAAAAAACCAAGAAGATGAATCCCTGCAGTCACGAAAGCTTTAAATCGAAATTTCAATGTCATGAAACGCCAGGGAATTTGATCTGTTTGGAACATGTGTAGAGGTGTTATGGGAGGGCAAACAAACACACTGGGCTTGGTTATGCCCGTACGCCAAGAGATGCTTACATCCACGTCCGCACCGTTTAGCCTGGGGGGCTAACACGGCGCTGGGATCCCCCACGGCCCCACCCCTCAGTGGGGGAGTTGCTATATAAGGCGGTGAGCCGGAGGGCTCGGGGTTCAGTGTTCAGCTTAAACCAGCGATGCAAGAAGACCGGCTAGATAGGCCCTGGGACTCCCCTGGATCGCTGTCCTTCTCAGGACCGACCAGGGCAAGCCAGTGGCGTGGCCACGAGAGCCCAGAGCCGATGTTCTTGTAAGAGCCGGTCTGGGGACTCAGGGTGCCGTAATCCCAGCTTAACCAGAGCTGGGTCAGCTAGCCTCCCCTAGCCCTGTAGTGGAGGACCTAGGAGTAGGCTAGCCGTGACAGAGATTGTGTGATCTTCCTGTTAGACGGGTGAAGGGGCCGATACCTCTTCGAGTGTTGTATATCTCGGCCTGTAATATACACTGTGGTTAATAAATAAGTGTGCCTCCGACTACGTCGTCCAAGTCTCCTGGAACCTACTACAACTGGCGTCAGAAGTGGTCTTCTAAGGATGGATACGAGACGGACGGCTCGTACCAGGGAACCGGGGGAGGAGGAAACCTCGGCCGACTCAGAGCCCGAGATTGCTGAGGGCGAATCCGAGCAACCGGGGCCGAGTCCACCCACACCGCAACGGCCGGACGGGTGGGGACCGTCGGCTGATGGACTATGGCTGGCTCACTCCCGCCTGGCGTAGCTACTCTACGCGGCAGCTGCCACGTTGGAGGAAATCACTCGCCTGGGGGCTGGAGGAGCTGCACGGGGCGACGACGGACGACATGCGACGCCGGTTCCCGCCATTTCAACGGGACTGGAAGTCGGATTTGCCGCCATCAGTACAGTGGGTGCTGAGGGCGGGGCCGGGCTACGTCAGGTGACCGATATTCGCCAACCAGAAGCCGCCACGTCGTCAATAGCGGCCGGCGCGTCACCAGAAGAGCGACCGCCGATGGCACCCGCCCTTCCCGCCGATACTGTACGGAGTGGCGGGAACGACGGGACGCGATCTACGGCTGCGGACGCCGCGTTCCAGCAGCGATTGACGCCCCTTCAAGAGTTTGTGGGCGAAGACGGTGACTGGGGTGCCTTCCGAAGACGGTTCCTCGCTCACCAAGAAATGTCACAATGGACTGATGACGAAGCACTACGCGCGCTACCGGCGATGCTCGACAGTGACGCCCTCGCTACCCTCACTTTGGCGCCAAGAACGATGTGCGCCACGCTGCAAATGGCGCTTCAACTCCTGTCTGCAGTCTACAGACCACCTTCTGACTGCAGACAGTTGTTCTACGATCGCCAGCGGGGCGCCAAGGAATCGCCCCTGGCATACCGCACAGCTCTCCTGGCCCTGGCGAAGGCGGCTTTCCCGCGGATGGACGAGGAAGGGGTGGACGCCATGGTAGCGGAGAAGATACTGCTGTTGGCGGACGATTTGGACATTGTCATCTTGGCGCAAGACGACACGGAGATGTGTTCCTTGCGGGCCGCGCGACACATCCACGCAAACTTGCTGTCCCAGCATCGCACCCTCCCATCGGAAGAGGTCTGCGCTGTGGATCGCCCGATGGAGTGGAGATCCGGGGGACGACCAGCTCGGGACGGACCGAGCCGCCAGGATCAGCCCAAGCCGTCTGGGGCGCTCACGCACTGCTACAACTGTGGCCTCCGGGGCCATGTGGCTTCGGGATGCCGAGCTCCTCGACAGCGCGGTGCGACGCCTCGGCCGGACGTCGCACCTCTACCCAAGCCTCATCAGCAAACTCCGGCGAGTCGTGGCACCCCACATGTTTGGCCTACGCACACACCTGTGACACACTCACGCACTGCAACGAAGAGGGGTCAAAAATCGCCTGTCGTTGCGTCGAAACGTGCCACGCTGGGGAGGGCGTTCCAACCGGGCCAGTGGTCCGAGTCGGCCCATCGCGTTGTTGCCGCGTCGTCGGGGTCGTCGGTCGTTGTGGACCATATTGATGGGGTTGAGGTGCGGGTCTTAGTTGATACGGGAGCATCGGCAACTATTGTGTCCGATTTAAATTATAACATTCTCCCCGTTCAAAGCCGTCCTTTGCTCCCCGTTGATGTTCCATGCTATGCTGCTAATGGGGGCTCGCTGGGCATTATCGCACAGATCCGCGTGCAAATTTGTATTGGGGACATCAAATTAACCGGCCCGATATTGGTCTCCTCCTCGCTGGCGGTTCCGTGCCTGTTGGGGACGGATTTTTTGGCCAAAATGCCGATTCGTATCTTGATCGACCAGGGTTGCATCGAACTTCCGTCGGGCCGACGTATGATGTTCTTGTCCTCCCCAGCTACTGTCCGTACGGCATTC